ACGGAAACGTGTGCACGGAATCGTGTGCACGGAATCATACCCCACCGTAAATACTAGATTCATTATTTATTCACTATTTATAAATTTATTTTACATTTATTGTGTTAAATTTGCACATTTGGTAAATTTTCAAAAAATACCGCTATTTTTAAAAATAGTAATACCGACTATTTTTCGTCGGTATTTTTCGGTATTGGTATTTTACCGAAATACCGATACCGAAAAATCGCGTTTGAATAACACTAATATTTACATAAAGAATAATATGTACATAACTAAGAAAGTGTTCTAATGACCGGCTCTTCTACTTTCCTGTTTATATAAAACATCCACTATAAAACAAAATTTAGTAGTTTTTATATTCTTTTCGCACATTAAAAGTTTCAAGATTTCCACCCGCTGGCAAAAATGACTTAGAAATGATCAACAAACGTAATATTGAACGCTTACTAGGCGAGAGTTTATAATCTATTAAAAAATAAAGGTGAAAGCAAGAACAATAGCTCAGTCGGTAGAGCAAGACGCAGTTAGCCCCTGCTCGTGGCTAACCTATTACCACTTTCTTGCTATATTTTGTTATATTTTTGTTCATAGTGTTACTTTATATGCAAGCGGCTTATCATTAATTAAGCAAGAATCATTGCCAGAAAGTTCGATAATTAAAATCGTAAACATATCTGAATACTCAATATAAACAAAAAATTAGTGAGCATCTGGTCATCTACATCTACATCTTACAAAAAAAGGGGGACAGATAGCTCTCGTTTTTACTTTTTTATAATCTTTTACTGACTGTCTTTCAAATAAGCTCAATTCTTAATTTTCATTAGTTGATGGAGGACTTTTCCTCTATAGCTTTCTTAACAACATCAAGAAACGTTTCAATTTGTCTTTTAGGAATTTGGTGGATTTCTTCTTTAATTTTGTTGGCGTTTTCATGAAATGTGGTTTTTTCCAGATTTGGCCTAAATATTTCAATTACTAAATACATAAATATTTATTTTTTATTGGAGTTGAATCCTGGAGTCCGGAATCCGGATATTTTGTTAAAAACTGAATGTCCGAGTAGTGACAAAAAATTTGAATTCGGTCCGGGTTCGAAATATATTAATACCTCAGTGACTCTGAGTAATATAGACGGATATAAGCTGTTTGATGGGATTAAAGAGGTTTGAGAGATTAAAGGGATCTCTCGAAATTCGTATCTCGAAATTAAAAATCTGCAATTTTGAGCTAAAAATCCGCATTATATCAAAAATCCGCAAAACTTTTTTGGCGCCTTCGAGCCTAAAAAATTCACTTTTCGCGCAGTAGCCGAAAATTTCAAAGGGTAGACAACAGGGGTGAGAGATTGAAGGATAAAGGGATTAAGGAGGATATCGGAGAGGCGAAAATTTAAGCGGCGAAAATTTGAAAATTTTGGGAAGACCAATGGGCAAGATTTCTTCCTTTTTTCCTCATTCTAGGATATTAAAATTGTCCCAAATTTTAAACATTTTTTTAAAAATAGATTGAAAATATCTTATGGCAAAATACAAAATACGATACCTCTAACAAACACGAGATACGAGACTAAATCCACCCCTAGTAGATAAACTTGGTGGATAAATGTGATTATCCATCAACGTATCCATTAAAAATTTTTTTTAGCAAAACAGACATCCTGATTAATTTAAGAACGGCAGCAGGAAATTGATCCATAAATTTTGTATGGTCAACAACAGTCCCCACTTCCATATGTTTAACAATTTTGGCATTAAACTTTTGTTCAAAAGTGAATGGAATTAAAATTAATGGAACACCAGCATAAAGAGCCTGTAAAATTAATTAATTAATTTTAGTTTGTAATTAAATACCTCATTAAAGCATTCTTGATCACCCGCAGTGATAAAAGCATATAGATTTTTCTGTGCTGAAAAAAAGTCCGAATTACCGTATTTGCTCTATCAATCCCCCAGGGGGATTAATGTTTCAACCCATCTCTAGGGTGGGGGATTAATAGAGACTGGGGAATTAATAGAGACTGGGGGATTATTGTTTCAACCCATCCGTAGGATGGAGAATTGTTTTGAAGATTGAAAATACGCCATTAGATTTTGGCGTTCTGAACGTCTTTTTCCTTCTAATGATTAGAGCTCGGCACGGGACGGGACCCCGTACGGGATTTTACGGGATCCCGTCCCGGAATCCCGGGTTTTTCGCGGAAAACGGGATTCCGGGATTTACGGGATTAATCCCGCGGGATCCCGTCCCGGTCGAACTTTTGAAACGTAATCCCGTTCCGGGATCCCGGGAATTTTTTTCAAATTTACGGGATTTTTAATTACTCCAGTAAATTGCCTGCGGAGCTGACAAAGGAAGAAAGCTGGCTTCTTGGCCTTCCAAAATTCTCAAAATTTTTGCCTGCGGCGCTAAAAAAGGAAAAAATCTGGCTTATTGAACTTCCAAATTTTCGCCTGTGGCGCTAAAAAAAACTAAAGTTGGCTTCCCCCTCCAAAATTTGACAAGTTCTGTCTGTGGTGGATGGATTACGAGTAAATAAGAATGGATTTTTGGGATTAACAGAGATATAGAGGGATTGTGAGGTGTACGTTGGTTTGCGAGGTTTAAACCATCCTAAGTTCAACTCCTAAGGATTAAGATATATCTGATGGTGGAGGGATATCATGGATTTGGGATTAACACAGAGGATTAAGAGGGATTTGGAGGATAATATGAGGTATCAGGAATTTATTGATTAAAAGATTTGTATCTGGGGATTAAGAGTATATTGAGGGATTAGAGGAATAATCCCCATATATACATTCAAACAGTTGAGCTCTAAATCCGATAAATTAGACTTAACCCATCGTTCTTCAGATCACCCTTTACCACTCCAAATATACCGATATCACAATAAATCCACCAATAAGCATTCAAATCCTCTTAATCTCTCTTAATCCACTGACATCCCTCTTAATCCTCTGATATCTATTCATTTGTCCCTTAAATCAGTAGGGGAAGAACGCGATAGGGGAAGAACTTGATTTGTTTTTTGATATTGATTGATTTGTTTTTATGTTGTTAATGATTTTTTGATTATTAATATTGTTTTAATAAATGTACAGACTGGGGGATTATTGTTTCAACCCATTCTAGGGTGGGGGATTAATAGAGACTGGGGGATTATTGTTTCAACCCATCCCCAGGGTGGGGGATTAATAGAGCCTGGGGGATTAATAAAGACTGGGGGATTAATAGAGCAAATACGGTAAGTATTATGTATATTTAAATAAATTCTCAAATAATAAAACTTTCCAGCGAGATTTTTGATAAAATTTAGTCAATTTTGTTTGCATATATAGTGCATCTTTTAAAAAATTTTTACACATTTCAGTGCATATTTTGGTCATTTTTGGCGTATATATGTATGTACTATGCTTATATTTGGCGATTTTTCACATATTTTTCACAGTCCTAATATCTACCCATCCATTATAAATATTACCTAATAATTCTTGAACATAATATTTGATAAAACCACTAATATATACATTGCCTTTAACATAGTAATTTAATTGTATAAAATCATTATCCTGATTATATCCCAGCTTTTTTTCATAATAATGTGTAGGGAATTGAGCAACAAATTTACAGTCCTTATAGCTTCTAAATGTTTTTAATAATCTAAAAAAATAGTTCTCTGGTAATTCTTCCAAAGAAACGTGTTCACCCATATAAAATAAAACAAAGCATCTTGTCTGTAAAATAAAAGTTGAAATTTAAATAAGTCAAAAATTAAATAATTCCGAAGAATTTTAGGCCGAAATTCGTTCAGAACCACAGCTCCATATATGAGCTGAGGTTAGAGAAAGTGCCAAAAAAATATTGGCACTTTTATTTTATCATAATATTTTATTTATTTACTTTTTTAAAAATTATTTTTGTATATTTTTAGGTGTCCAAAAATTTAAGCCTCCACTTTTCGGAATTTTGGGTTTCAAGGAAAAAGATCCAAATTATTCCCGTTCATTGCTTTTAAACCCGATTCTATTTAGGTTGGCTCATAAATAGTGTTGTCGGTTTCACCAGATTCATCGTTCACCGAAACCGAAAATCTTCGGCTTTTCGGTTCGGTTTGAAACTGACAACCCTACTCATAAATAATATATTCGCTATTAAATTATTACATTTTTAACCCATTCAACTTCATAAGTATACAATTTCTTTTCTATATTCTTAATAAAATCTTTTGCTGTACTCTTCTTTTCTTTCAATTTTTTTTCTTCCTCAATTTCATTCAAAATTCCTTCAATTTCTACTTCAATCCCTCCAATATTAACAATTCCTTCTGGAATATTTTGTGGTTGATATTGTCCAAGTGGATGGACATTTATTAAATAATATTCTGATTTTCTCAATAAATCCCACATTTTTGGCATTTCAATTAAGTTTAATAAATTATTATTTAATTTATCGTCTTCCAATTTTACTTTTAAATCGTTTAAAGCCCTTTTCCTTGCCAAATTTAAATATCCAGCTTCAAGTTCCTCAGAAATTTCCTGGCAGTTAAGCTCTAAATTAATAAAGTATTAAATAAACCATTTACATCACTTAAATTATTTTAAAAATTTTAAAAGAATAATTACTAAAATGTCCAAATTTTAAGTCACCCAACTCCCCCAACTAATTCATAAACAAAAAGTATTTTAAAATCAACCCTGTACCAAATTTAAAAATAATCTGGTTGCTTATCTGCCGTTCGAGCTCCGGGAATGCGGATTCGCTCGATTTTCTTCGGGAAAAAAGAGTGGTACCGTTCGATTCAGCACCTTTTATTACCCTATATATGACATTTTGAGCAGTAATTTAGGAGGTGTGGCATAATGGAAAAGTACCAATAAAAGAACCATCTAGCTAAATTATTTAAAGTTTGGCTAGCACTCTTCAGTAATTCAGATTAGAATTGTACCCCGACCCAAACCCCGACCATATTTTGCTCCCCCGACCTATACCCCGCCCCGAAACAATTCGAAAACCCCGTACCCCGACATACCCGCCCCTGAGCGTTCGGGGTACAACACTAATTCAGATGAAGAGTGCCTGCCCGTCGTACCATCAAAAAATAAATCCTTAATCTATCTACACAACAGACATATTCTGGTAATCATGAGACATTTATTTAGAAAAAAACAAAAAATTATCATTTATTATCTCAATTAATTCCAAAATCAATTCTACATTTTAGTTAGAAAAATGCTTACCAGGCATAAAACGATAGAGTTCATGATGAAGAGAATGGAAATGAATTGGAAAAGGAATTTTCGAATTTGCAATTAAATATTTTTCTAATTTAATTTCTGCTAAAAGATGAACTCCCCCAGAAGAGAATTCAGCAATTCCCAATGCAAAATATCCTCTAATTCCCATATTTCTGAGCCAATTAAAAACTCCTTGTTTCATGCCAAAGATGGTGACTTTTGGATTTTCTATTATTGCTTAAAAGAGTATTTTAAAAGTGGTTATTTGTATTGACCACACAGTTTTAGTGTAGTAAAATTATTATTATTTAATAATTTCGAGTTATTAGAGACAGAATGCGCATTTTCATTTCGTCCGTTTCAGACCTATTTTAGTGTTTTGTTAAGGAATTTTCTTTAAATTTGAATTTTTGCCAATTTTTTGTTTAAAATGAAAATAATAATTAAGAATTTTTTCAAAAATAATAATTTAACATGGATTAGAGACGTATCATATATGTGGGAATCGACTGTACTCCTATAAATTTTATCCTTAATTAACTAAAAATTAAAAAATCGGACTTAATTTTACCTTTTTGAATTACTTTAATCTATTTTAGCATTTAAAAAGGAATCTATTCCTAAATTTTTCAGACGTAAAATGGCATTCTCTAATAAAGAATCATCTTTTTTAGCTAACCTTTGTATATGGTGAACATAGACAATTCCAACGATTTCAAGGGGTGATCAACATTTATATCATATTCACTTTCCCAATTAGTTTCATATTTTTCAAAATTGAACTCTTTTGAATATTCCTGGTCTTCATTATAAGGCACTTCTATCAATCGAACACCTTCCAAAGGTTTCTTCAGTTCAATTACATTGTATTTAACCACAAACAAATACTAAAATACACGAATAAAAATGACTGGAGGGGGGAACAGGGCTGATAGAAATTTCCGGCATCTTCGTTAGTTCCAACTAGAGTAGCACGAGGCCGAGGTTTTTCGAAAAAACCGAGGCCGAGGATCACCGAGACTGGAAAAGCCGAGATCGAGGTCGAGGGGGATATTTTCGTAATCGTAATCGTAATTACGATGCAAGTCTGGTTTGGCGTTACCGATTGGGAAGTTTGTGGCAAAGTGAACGTACGGTAAGGAGTAATATCTGTTTAGTATAAAGTAGTTTCTATCTTTCTACGGTTTTAACAGAGGATATGGCTATATTTCAAAAAATTCGGTTTTCAGTACTTTATTATAAACAATAGGTTTTAATTTACCACATCATAATTGCCATTGTAACATAAAACATTTGCAAGGTTTATCTAAAATTAATGAATTAACTCTGTTAATTTTGTTTTGAATTACAAAAAAACTGTAGTGCGGGTGCTTTGCTTCAGTTACTAGCAATATTCTCTTCCCTTTATTTGTTTTTGTTGGGGTTTGTTGGTTGGATTGAATACTTGAAGATGGTGAACCCTCATCATAATATTGTTGAGAAAGTAACGGAAGTTCACTTTCACTTTTTCTTCCTTTAAAGAAGCTCCACATACAATCAACATTGTAATGTAGCAGAAAATGGAAAAGAATTAAAAAAGAATTAAGCCAGAAAATGGAAAACATTTTCAGCTAAAAATTGGATATTAAAATTCAAATAGGAATATGTAAGGCGAGGTTTATAGAAAATCCGAGAACAAGAATTGCCAAGGCTGGAAAAGCCGAGATCGAGATTTATGGGCATGTCGATGTTCGAAATAACCGGGCTTGGGTAGTTTTTCCCATCACTTTATTCAACAGACTGTACTCAGACTGGCAGCAGTTTATTTCGGCCCCATAAGCACATTTTACGAGGGCTATACTTCACTGATCAAGAAAAAGTCAAAAACACATTGATGGCTCTTCAGTGGCAAACAACTGAAAGTTTTCGAGATGTGGATTGGCTTTAGACCGACTCATAAATATAGAAAAGGGCAAGTACATTAAACAAAAAATATTCCTTATAAAATAAAATTTTTCTTTAAAAATGGTTAAAAAAATAAAAAAAATTGAAAATTTAACTCCTTAAAAATGCCTCTATACTCCTCCCCATATCCTCCCCATACTTCTCCCATCTCCTCCTCTCCCCATCCCTCCTCCCCACAACTAAACTACACATTTTTTTTGCACTTTTAAAAAACACTATTTTTTAATAAAAAAGAATGAGGGCGCTTATTCACTTTGATTGGCAAATATAGTCAATAAATGCCACATATTATCGAGTCTGCACGTGAATACACTTTATCATATGTAATTTTTTCTTTTAATATATTTCTTTTAATATTGATTAATTAAAATAATTTTTTAATAAAAAAAATTTTTTTTTAATTTTAAATTAAATATACCTACATATATGTATTTTCATTAAAATTAAGAATATTTCAAATAATTACATAGTTGGAATCGTTCCGTCTCACCCACACAATGCTAAAACATCTTATATTTGTACTAAAATTTGAATAGAAATGTACCAAATATTGATATTTTATTTTTTGATTCTATTTTTATTTCCAGAGAAATTTGTTAAATTTTAAGTTTTGGCGCTATAATTTCCTACAGTTGGAAAATGAAATATTTTTTCTTTTAAATTTTCAGTTTTCTTCGAGGGTCTTAATATTTATCGGTAAACTATCAAAGGCATAAATTCCAGCTTAATTGGAAGTGGGGTAAAGTGCAAAAATTTCCCTGGCATAATAATTTCTTAACAGACTGTAGATTTGTAGCCAAAATTGTATAAATAAAAAAATTTATTTAATGTTGTGAAATCATTTCATCGAAATATGTTTTATAAAAAATCATTTGGACGTCCTGACAATTTTCTTTTTTTGTAGAAAATAAAAATGTTTTAATTTTAATTACAAGATTTCCAATAAAATTAATTATTGGGATTAGGAAAAATTGAAGTAGAGAAATTAAAGACATTCCAAGAAAAAAACTAAATTGGCCGCCAATTTGGGATATAAAACAGGGCTCTCATTCGTGCTTTATTTGAAAGTATTATACTTTGAAATCAACATTTTTGATTGAGAATGAAATTGGGGAAGGGATTGGGCAAAAAAGTGAATTTTTTTAGCCTTGGGCCTTCGAAATTATCAAAATTTTCGCCTGCGGCGCTGAAAAAGAAAGAAATCTGGCTTCTTGGGATCCGAATTTCAAAAAAATTTCGCCTGCGGCGCTGAAGATGGGAGAAAGTAATTTGCTTGAGGTTAAGACTGTCAGGGCTTTATTTCTTGTATCAGCGAATTTTGACATGTCATGCGTTGAAATGCACAAAATGCTCAGTGGAAGCAAGAAATTATTAGAAAAGATTCATTTAGGAGAGAAATATAAAAGATTTGAGCACGAATAAATATTCTCTAATTTAATTTGGAGTATACTTTAAATTTGGAAATTTTCTCCCTATATACTTTTTTATCAAGATTTTGATACTTTTGAGTGGCATTTTGTCGATGAGAGCCCTGATATAAAACCTTTAATTTTTTTTGAAAATAATTTTGAAATTCTTTAAAATACCGGGAAGTGTTGTAGTCAATTTTTCTTCATAAACTTCCTCCTAAATAATTTTTTGAGATTAAAAATGATATTTTTGATAAATAAATTTTTTGTTAGATTTAAATGGACGGGAGCAGGCCAACTTACCGTGAGCCCAACTTACCGCAGAGTATAACTTCGTTCAGAGTTGCCCTTGTATGTTTCGATGCGCCTCGACGAGCTGAATCGAACCATACTAGGGCGTCCCGGATTCGATCATTCTGAACGAAGTTATAGCTATTCGGTAAGTTGGGGTGTCCAGAAAAGGAAAAGACATCAGGGTGCAAAAAGATAGGGAAATATTACCTACATTTTTGTCTTCAAAAAATTTTTATTTAATTAGCCCATTTTTGTCACCTGTAAATTTTCATAAGAAGCCTCCAAATGGAAATGGAATTTTTTGTTCTTAGCCCCAACATTGCTTCTTTGGTCTTGAAATTTATTAGAAAATAATTGTGTGTCAATAATATCACGTTCACACTTTGGAAGACACTAAAGAATTTTCTTTAAAGGATTTTTTAAAGAATTAGAAAAAATACCTTAGAAATGCTTTGATAAACAGATAAATTATCAACAACATTCATTATAGAAAAATAATTATTAAAAATTATTTCAGGGTCACAAACATCCAATTTTGGATATTTATGAGAAAAATAAAATATTGTACAATTAAATGGTTGAATAATACGTTCACTTGAAAAAAAATAAATTGAGAATATTTTAAAGAATTTTGCCCAATTGGATCTTTAGATTATAGAATATGATCCAAAGATTTTTTGTCAATATAAAAACTGAGAATATTATGTATTTATTTATTTATTTATTAACATAAAAAAAAATGTCATCGAAAGGGCGTGCCACTTAATCCGACAACAATGTCGTAGTGAAGCACAATAAAAATAATCAAAATAAAAAACAGCATAAAAACAATTAAAGTCATAATAAATTAAATAAAAACAAAAATTTATATATAATCGATTTATTATTTAAATAAATATACTCTATACCGACCATTTTAATTAACTAGGATGATTAAGTATAGTTCAAATTTTGTCAAAATTTAAAGAATTAATTTGTTCAACAATTTTGCTGCGTTTTTCGTTGTTTGTCATATTTGCTGCAAAATTTAATGGAGAGAATTCAGAAGAATTGCGCTTAGACATTGTTTAGTCAACAAAAAAAAATATTACCCAATTAAATATCTTTTTAAAATTTCCTTAAAAGAAAAAAAATAAAATGCTTTTTAAACAAAAAAAAAGATAAATTTTAATAAAAATTAGGAGAGAAGAAAACAAAAAAAAAATTTTTTTTAAATTTAATTTTATGAGTCATCAAAAAGAAGAAATAGTGGGAATGCGAAAGAGTAAGAGATGCTTGTATAAATTGTCATTTAAATTAATTTTTTTGAACAGAATGCCAAACATAATTCAAAATTATAATTTAAATGTTTACTTAAAAAGGAAAGAAAAATAACAATATATAGCTACTATATAGAAAAAAATAAAATCTATATACTAGAAAATAGGTGATTATTTAAAAACATTAAAAATGTTTTTATGATTATTTTAACAAATTGCCTAACTTTTTGCTTTTACAATTTCTAAGCATTTAAGTAAACATGATTTGGTTAGAATTCTGAGAATATGTTTAGTTC